GGTCGCTGCGTGACCCAGCGTCCGGTCAGTAGACTGACGCCAGCATCTTCGCGATCAACTCGTTTTCACTTCTAACTTCTTCACCCTTGCTCCAATGTGCCAACCACAAGAATTTGCATCCGACGCAATAGAAAATAGGCATTCCATTTTCCCAAAAGCGCCGAATCCCGCCTCGCAAGCTCGGCGGGAGGGAGAGAGGGACCCAAACCCATCTCAACCCTGCAAACACCACCTCCTTTGTAAATGTGCCAACACCACCAAGTGTACACCACCATGTGTATGTGTGTTAGCTTTTCACAATCATTTCCCAAAGGATGTTAGCCACTCATCTTGCCACGCCACTCGATCATAGCGACGATGCAAAGTTAGATCACTCGAGTGGCACTAGATAACCGATATGCAAACAAGTTTGCCCCTCTTGATAGTACAGCCATCTATCCTAAACCCGGTCATAGGCTTCTCTACACATCTATGACCGGTGAAATGAAATGTCTTAGGTTATACCTTTGCCTTGCGCATTTCATTCCATCTCCTCTAATGTCGATGCAACACATGCACCAACATGATCAACAATGATATGATCCACTTCATATCATCACGTGATCATATTGGTTCATCGATCTTGACTTCACTTGCTCTTCACCGTTGCCATCGTTCATCGGCGCCAAGTCTTGCTCAAGCTTCACCGCCACACGGTCCATCACTCCAAAGCCTTCGACTTGCCCTTCATGCTTGCAACCGGTCCATCAAGCCAAGTCTTGTCTTGATCTTCTCCACCTTGATCACATGACTCAATGTCATGTCTCATGTGCATTTAAGCTCCTTCATCATCACATGTGTGAGTTTTGCAACATCTCCAAGCCATTGTCACCTTTATGGCATATGTTGCTCACACACATGTACCTGTGGACTAATCACCTGTGTATCTCACGTAAACACAATTAGTCCACCTAGGTTGTCACTCAATTACCAAAACCAAACAAGGACCTTTCAGGGCGGCTGATAACACCAGCCGTCTCTACAAATCGATTTGTAAGGGCAGTCTAGTAACCGCCCCTACAAATACATGATTTGTAGAGACGGTTTGGTAGAGAGCGGCTGGCCAAACCGCCCCTACAAATAGTCTTAAGCCGTCCCTAAAAATACTTTTTGGCGTAGTGCCTGAATATCTAAAAGGTAATTTAGTTTATGTTTTTTTTAAAGTAGCAATCTATGTATCCTCGGCATCTAAGATGATCACTAATCGTGAAACTTTAGTGTGTGTGTTTTTTTTCAATTCAATGCTATCTCTTTCACTTGAGGATTCCTAGTCCCTAGAGATACCTCCTAAATTAGTATCTCATATACTCTCAAGGAATAGCCAAGGGCATCTTACTCATCCTTTTCAAGGGTTATCTTGATGTAGCTTGAGGCATCAAGACGATGTCAACGAGAGTTAGCTATGGGCTTTCAGTTACTAGTATGAGGTTCAGGCACAAGTTTGGATATTTCTCCACTAAGATGACGATGAAGCAGGGGTGGACCTACCCTGTAGGCTGCCAGCTATCGACTGGCAAACCTTAGTATGAACCCATCTTTTTCCAGGCCTTGTTCTCTTTGTAAATTTTTGCAACTCGATAAATAGTATCACTTTCGTCTTATTTGATAAATATTGTCCAATCGTAGATCAACTAGGCTCAAAAGATTCATCTCGTGATTTACAACTAAACTATATAATTAGTTATTTTTTACCTATATTTAATACTCCATGCAAACGGCTAAAAATTGATGTGATGAAGAGAGAGTGAAAAAACTTAGAATTTGGATGGCATCTAAACAAGGCCCCACTCAATCTCCACGGTTGTCACTTGTCAGAGCTCGGGGCCTCGGCAATAATTGGCAATCAGCGACGGCTTCATTTCTGGGAGTATAGGTGATTGGAGAAGAAGGAATCGAAGAGGTATGGGCTGGTGTGGACCGTAGTTGTCATTGGGCTATGGGCTATACAGATAGTATTGGACTCAAGCCCAACAAGCCAGCAAAGGAGGCATGGAAAGGAAGAGCCCGACCCAAAGGCTCCAACACAAACACACGCGTTGCTAGGGCCAAAAACGGTCAGAAACCATCTATAGGAGGTCAAATTATTTTCAGTTTTACATTATTTTTTCGAAAACAAAATCCTTATGATATTGTCGGAAACGAGAATGGCATCAATATTCTGGTAAATTCGGAAACCAAACTATGTAATCAAAATTACATAGATAACGATCAACTAAAATACAATAAACACACCAATATGCACGGCATGACAATAGCTATATAGATTAATCCAGGTCACATGAAAAATAATAGTGTATCAGTAAGGGCCTATTTGGCACAGCTCACAGCAGCTTTATGAGCTGTTGTGAGCTGTTTTATTTGCTAAACATTTATTTCTAAAATAGCTTCACCCATAAAGCTGTTTTTTTCCCCCTCTCACAAATACATGAGTTGGAATGAAGCTGAAAAAAGTAGCTTATCCTAACTCTCTCCTCATTTCTCTCTTCCATCCATGCATGAAGCTGTTGGTGAAGCTATTTTGCCAAACAGTTTTTCCAAAACAGCTCAACTTCACCTAGAAAGTTGCTCATGAAGCTGTTTTCTAAATAAACTGCGAACACAAGGTTGATATGTGCCCTTATGGTTCGGATTGGTGATGAGTGATTGTCAACGTGACTTGCGTCTTGGGTTAAGTCGGTGAACTAACCATGGCGTGAGTTGGGTTGTGCAACATGTTTCTTGGCTTATGGTGCGTAGGTGTAGAGCTCGGAGGTGGTGGTCGACGGCGAGGTGAAGGTCAAGTAGGGACGTGCCGTGCCGATGGACCGGGAGCGGTGAAGGACGGACGTGAGGCTTGGACTGAGGGACCAAGAGGCCGGGTGACTAGCCGCGGTGGCTGACATCTGGGGACATCGACAAGCGCAAGTGTACATAGTGGAGTGACCGTGATGACCAAGTCAAGACGGCGGTCGAGCGAGCCGAGCAGGGCTCTGGAAGACTTGGCGGCCGGCCGGTCGAGGACGGCGGTGACACGCGTCGAGTGGCGGGGGACGCGTACAGAGTACGCTACTCGCGACAGTTTGGTGGGTTGAGCCTCAAAACCACCGGGTGGACGGTTTCGTGGGTTTGGCATCAAAACCCGGGCGGAGGTTCCGAGGAGGAACGGACGGCACGTGACGGCATCGAGGAGTTCGCGTCGAGGCGAAGCTATCTCATGAAGGACGCGGTGGCCGTCGGATGAAGATTACCTCGGGTTGGACCATAGTGCCCTCGTGTGAAGTGGTTCAACTCAAAAATATCTAAGGGCAAAACTGGGATTATGTAATAGCCATGTTAAATAGGATGAGGGGCAAAACCGACATTCAGTGTTTAAGGCAAATGATACTTTTATCACTCACTAATTGTTCTTTTATAAAATTTTAGGTTGGTCAATTTTATTTTTTTATGTATGTTGAATGGTTTGCCGCAGGAACAACATTTGTTTTCTAAATTAAATGTATCATAATAAAACTATTTTCTCGTTATTTTAATATAGTGTGCCAAGACAATTTATTTTTTAAAACTAAAGGTATCAACTTAAAATTGTTTTCTCATTATTTAATATAGTTTGTGCCATGACAATGTATGTATATGTCTTTTCATGTTTGGTAATGAGAAAATAATGAGAAAATAGTTTTAGCCCCATTCGCGTGCCCTTAAACCCGGCTTGATCCGCTTCTTTTTTCATCAGAACAGTGTTTTCCTCTCACAAATTCCTCCAGATTCATCCAAATTCCTCCAAGCGAACGGGCCATGCCCACTCGCCCATCGCCTCCCATTGCGCTCGACGTTCCTCTGTCCATCGTCCACCACGCTCACGATCGGTAACTTAGGCAATCGACATTCAGTGTTTAAGGCAGATGATAATTTTATTGCTCACTTTCCTTGGTCAATTTTATTTTTATGTATTTTGAATGGTTTGGTGTGAGAACATTGATTTTTCAAAAAATAAAGGTATCATATCAAAACTATTTTCTCATTATTTTTAATATAGTGTGCTAAGATAATTTATTTTTTATTTAAATTAAAGGTATCATATTAAAATTATTTTCTCAATATTTTGATATATAGTTTGTGCCATGACAATGCATGTATATGTCTTTTCCTGTTTGGTCAAGCTTGTAGTTTTTATTTAGAGTTCGCTCCACTTTTTTTTGGAAGTGCGATCAGAGGTCGGACACCAACTCACAAGATGCGCAGGCTGCCTATAACCCCTTCCGGCCGGCGGCACTCGTCGACAATGTCGCCTGTCGCCGTCGAGCACGACCTATCTACCGCTCGACCTATCTACCTCGACATCGTCGTCGTGTGGCGCTTCCGCGACCGGCTCAGGTAACTTTCTGGCTATGTGGTTGACTTAGCAGCAAGCAGCTAAAATGATTAAACGTCTGGCACAAATCACGCAAAAAAAGGTCTCATCACGAACCAATAACCATACTTTGTAATAACAAGATCTTCATCATGGTTCAATAAGCATTGTGCTAATTTGACCCCAAATCATTCCATGTAGATCAACTCCGGTTATTGGCACAAGGAAGCACAGTTACCATGGAAAATAAACTTGCAAATGATTACCAACATTTAATTTAGCTACTGGATAAACAGCAAATCATCCTACTCTATGAATCAAGCTCGGTACGGCGGGAACACGAAATTATTTCTAATTCCCTGCCCTCAACATCATCTCTAGACCACAAACTGTATAACGATCCACAGCTACTCGGGGTACTCATGCTGTCATGCACGCTACATCAGTGTGTTCAATAACAAACCTAGTATCAATAAGTGAGCTAGCCCTGCAATCGAAACAATCTCATTGCATATCCTTTCAATCGCTCCTACAACCAATTCTTCAGGGAGGAACAGAAAGTTGCACAGTTCAAAGGATTAGTCCTATGTTAACAAATTCAATTTTCCTCAAAATGGACTCTGCAAAAATACTGTTATGTTCTTATCAAGACCTCCAACTCATGACACCCTGCACCATCCAAACAAACATAAAAATTAGCATATCGTTCAGAACACACTGATTTATTGATTGTTTTGTAAAAGTGTCAATTATTAAGACTTGAGTTTGACATGTTTCTCTGTGGTACATAAACAGGCACAGAGCACACAAGTATTTTCAGAAATATACTGTTATGCTCCATATCAATTGTTATGCGTTGTGGTCTACATAAAGTCACACCATGCTATAAGACAGGCTAACAAGTTCATCAACATTGTATCACTACAGACAACCATCAAAGGAACATATAACTATTATTATTACTACCATTTTAGAACGAGTACAAAGGAAAATTTGAACAGTTTAAGTGTCCACATAGAATCTGAGATGGAGCTAAAAATCAGATGAGACTATTGTTAGGTCATAGCCTCATAGGGATGCCTCTTAACATGGCTTAAGACATGTTGACAATGCACCTCTAACTGAAACATTTGCATCGATAAACAAGAAACCACCCAAATTAAGACAAGCTATGCAAGCCAGATCACTGAACAACAGAATCTAAAAAAAGTTACATGAAAAACAAATTGAATCCAATAGTAGGGAAGTAAAGAAGCACGTACCACTATTCTGCACAGGGTTTGAACCATCAGTCTCCTTTTAACAGCAAATTACAAGGATTGAAGCAAGAACTTAGGAAGTGTTAACTAAGTCCATTCCCCGTCTCATCAGTTTTGGAGCTCTTGTGCTGCCATAAGTTGATCGGCCACGTTAACAACAAAGCGACAAATTCTCTCTATGAAAGCTACTGTATCAGCAAGGAAATAATAGCAGTGTGCTACCTTACTCTTCTTGTGCTTATGCACATCCGCTGAATCTTCTGTTCCCTCATGCTTCCTCTTCTGATACAAATTGTTAGCATTGCCCATCAAAAGGTATATGGTTTGAAATGAAGCTATTCAGAGTTTTGAACATACAGAAAATGGACCAACCTTTTCATGATGTTTCTTTGAATCAGAATCATGATGACCACTTTTATCTTTTTTCTTATCCTTGTCTTTGTCTTTATCTTTGTCCTTACTCCGATCCTTATGCCGATGTTTGTGCTTCTTATGTTCCTTGTCTTTGTCCCTGTCTCTGTCTTTGTGCTTTTTATGCTTCTTCTCTTTGTCCTTGGACTCACTTTTTGGTTTACCCGAAATAGTCGGTATACCCTTTTCAGTCTGTTGATATGGTACATGTTGTAAACAGTAAAATGAGCAAATCTAATAATGCCATAAGAGAAGTGAGATGCTAGGAAGGATCTTACAGAGGGCAAATCCACAGGAGCTGTTTCTCGAAGTTGGAACGCTTGCCCCAGTGTTACCATATCAAAGGGCTGAATATAAGCAGGTTTATCCCTCATATATGCATTCTGAACAAGTTGATCTAACTCCATTCCTTCTCCTTTGCGAATTTCAGTGTCTCCCACAACATTGTGAAGATAATGTGTATCTGATATTGCCAGTGGCAAAGGTTTCTTGCAAAAGAAATCATGGTGTGGCAGCAGTTTGTAGTGGCTGATCAAATCAACAGCACCAGTGAGCTCCCTTGGCCCTGAAATACAGAGATGATATTATCAAACAACCACATAGCCGACGAATAAGGTTTCAGAAAAGATAGATGCACCGATATATCTATGAAGCAAAATTTAATCTAGCTTACAATAGACATTAGATGCAGTATGCAGCACATAAAGCAGCTTTGTGCACCATGTCACAAAATACTAACTGTCCAACTAACGCATTGTGAACTATGAATAAGTCAAAGCAGATGAATTTTTGCCCATTGTTAAAAGAACTGCAGTAAACAGCTAGCTACAGGACATACTGGCCTAAGCTGGCAAAAGAATCAGCACCAAAAGTTTGTATTTAAAATTTTAAGCATATAATTATTACTAATTTCTTGCAAGCTAATGAGGATAACTCATAATCAAGCAAGCTGTGATATTAATACCAGTCTGTTGCTTTGTGCCCACATGAATTAGGATTTAGCATTTCAGATTTGCATACTGAATAATTGCCATAAGGGGAAGTGGGAAACATAGGGATCACAAATAATAATTACCTGCTTCCATAAAACAAAATCATTTTTGTTCCTTTCCAGCACTAACCATTAACCAACCATTCTGGTTGATAATACCAGCCACACAATCAAAATTTCAGATAGTGCTACTTGGCTGGCATAGATTTGCGGTCACACAAGAATGGACCGAGTTCGGAACGATGATATACGTGATCGCCTAGAGGTAGCATCAATTGAAGAAAAGCTTGTCCAACATCGGTTGAGGTGGTTTGGCCATGTCCAAAGGAGACCTCCAGAGGCACCAGTGCATTGTGGAGTCCTAAGCCAAGCTAATAATATGAGGAGAGGTAGAGGAAGACCGAAATCGACATGGGGGGAGGCAATAAAAAGAGATTTGAAAGCTTGGGATATACCTAGGAGTACTTGGAAAGCAGCTATTGAAGTGCCTGAACCGTGACTTGGGGCTCTTGGTGGGTTTCAACTCTAGCCTACCCCAACTTGCTTGGGACTGAAAGGCTATGTTGTTGTTGTTGTTGTTGTTGTTGCTGCTGTTGCTGCTACTTGGCTGGCATAATACTGGTAATGGTAACTTGGAGGCAACCTATGCTAGGTGAGGACTTATCACTTAGCATGTTGTTTATGCACCTGGAGATCAGGAATCAGGACCCCAACAAAAGATAACCACCCATATTAACAATTTCATTTCTGAAAATTGTTTGTCCACCAAATACATATATAGGGTGCAATGAACCGTGCATCCCTAAACTTTCCACATATTCCCATCTGGGTCCATGAACTCTCAAAGTAATCATCTAGGTCCTTTAACTTTTCAAGTGATTCGTTCAAAGTGTAAATTCAAGTCCATGATTGGACCTAGAGTGAACATAAAATGAACCACTTGAAAAGTTGAAGGATCCAGATGATCGATTTGAGAGTTCATGGGCTTAAATAAGAATGCAGAAATTGTTAGACCCACGATGCATTTCATTCTTTTAGATGAGTTTTAATCCAAACCCTACCGTTTCCAAACTTCTTGTCATCAGAATCCATCAGATTGGAGCTTGAGCTATGCAAAGAGCATCTTCACCTGAAATTCAATTAGGAAAGAATGTAACAACAAATGTGTAAAGGTAAAGCAAACTGGTTCTGCAATGAACAAACATGATATACACTACTACATATCTACATACCACACAGACATGTTAAATCCCATAACCATGCAAATGTCGATAGACAATGCATAACCACATATGGTGTCACCATCAAAAGTAATGAATAGGTTTTCCCTCTCTTATTTGAAATACTATGGAATTACATGACAATTGTCATGTGTAAAGTACTGTGATTTTAGCAAATCAAACATTATTTTTGAAAAAAAAAACTTTAATTGGTTCCAAAGAGTAGCAAGGTAAGGATGATTCAGATGTTATAAATGGAGCATACCAAGTGAAGAATTCAGTCCAGGTTAGCATTTTCTATTTCTCGTTTTAGTTTGTGTGTTATTTGAACAGAGCAATACTGATATAGCAAAACCAGAGTAAAAGAGGAACCAAACAAAGGCTACATAGCACGTACATGTCAGCAGACAGAAACCTTGTGTGATATAACAGCTAGTAGATCAAAGCAGTGACCTAATCAGTGCAAAAGTTTGACTTAGGCCCATCAGCAACAATAACTAATGTCATGACATGACCAGATAGCGGCTTGATAATTGTTCAGTTAACATAATACTGAGAATAGGATATCATTCTGCTCTGGTTTTTTCATTTTTCCTTTGGGAGAATACGGGGTTACCCAGGGCATGTGAAGTACAGCAGTTAGAATGCAAAAAATGAGTTAGAAAAGCTTCAAGCGGACAAATCCTAGCAACAGGTCTCCGTAAGCATTACTATCCCTGTATCCCAATCATTCTAGAGGCATTTCACAGAAAATTTGAGCAAGCACTAGGCCCAAGACCACCCAATCAGACAATCAATCAACTTCATGTACAGTTACTAGTGGTAAAGGGCAAATACTGCCAAGTGCCACAAATCCACAATTGGCAAAACAGAGCACTAGAGAGGGTAGGCCAGCATGCCACCATACTAATTCCATACAAGATGCTTCTGACATTATTCGTAGGATAACAAGACAACATGCCTACATAAATGTTTTTTTGTTATTAGAGGGGACCAATAGTGCAAGTTTTATCATAGTTTGATTGAATTTGATTTTTTTTCAATGGAAGCTACATTAGCTTAGGGGTTGTAGCCCCCCAGCCCCTCCCGCCCTATGACACTGATGGCCAGGCAACAACGGGCCTATTCACGACGCCAAAACTTCTAAGACTGCAATCATAACTATAACCAGCAGAACCCAGCCTTGTAACCAATGGTTGACATCCAGGATGCTACCAGCAGAACCTAAGCATTACATACCAATGGTTGACAACCAGGAAGCATCGCTACAAGCTCTCAGTTGAAGCGCATGAGCTCAATTGGTCCAGAAACAGCCCACTGAAACACCCGTGAATCCAGGATGCAGTTAGGGCATGGGGATTGAGTCAGGCCAATGATTCCAGAAAACACCCGTGCGGCAAGCCAGGATACTACAGGCAGCTAAAATGACCCTGCGCGGCAGGATGTACTGCAGGCAGCTAAATTGACCCTGCGTGAGTCTAATCGAACTATGGAGGTGGGTGGAATGCGTTAGTAGGGCAGCAGCACCACGAAGGTTAGGGTTCAATTCAATTCGTCGCTGTCGCAGCAGAGAGGAGGCACCGGACACCGGGGCAAGCTTGGGGAACTCACCGACGATCTCGAGGCCGGGGCAGGTCTCCGCGCCAATCCAGTGCCAGTAGAACGCGGGGGCGGGGACTGGGGCGACGCCTCCCCGGCGAGGGCGGCGAAGACGTTCGGGTGGGAAGCGGGGCTGGGCCCCTGTGCGGTGTGTCCCGTCCGTCGCTGGCGGCAAGAACGCCGGCGGCGGCGGCGGCGGTCGGTTGGGTAGCGAGCGGGCGAGAGAGGGAAAGGAAGGATCTGGAACCCTCGACGACCCCCGAAGTTTCGCTTTTCTTGCCTTTCAGGTTTGTAACGGAGGGAGGTCTTGGCAAAACCACCGGACCACACGGCGTTTTCTTGCCGTGGAGACTGGAGACCCCACCGGTCCAGCAGGCGGTGCGGCGACTCCAACAAGGAGTCCGTGTCCATGTACTAACCTGGATGTCAAATACGCCACCGACTTGCACAAGGAGTGTACAGGTAGAACACACAGATCTGCATACAATCAGTGGGCACAGATTTCCATTCCATTTCAAACAGTCCACCAAATCAGTGGGCACAGATTTGAAGTTCTACAAATGGGCCGGCGCCTGTACAAGCAGCCAATGTGAATTCCCACCCACTCCTACTCTCCTCATGTCTGCATTCACCTCAGTGAAGAACTGAAGATGAAGCAGCAGTTGATCACACCCTTATCTGGTATACCTTCAATGTATAAAGAACCAAGGAACATTGTGATGTCGAGATCGAGATGACGGCTTCTGGAGTTAGTCGTCGAGCAGATGGTTGTATGGAACTGAACCCAGGCGAATGGAACAGAGATCATGAGCCTTGGTCCACCTCTCCCCTGTTGTACACAACCCTGTGATAGAAGGATGTCACACCTAGGCCACCATCTCCCCCTGGAGCCTCTCATGCTGTTATCTGTAGTTACAGCAGCTAGCGTGCCTTGCTGACAGTTTCTCCCAGAGGCACATCATCTGGCTAGGAGACTGGTAGTGCGCCGTGAAGTAGTTGTCCACGCAGCCGAACTGGCAGAACCTCCAGCTGTGAACGTACTGCACAGGGGCGCTCGCGTTGTAGTCCTCCACCCACATGCCCATGCTCACATCCTCCATCTTGAACAGCTGCGAGCAGCACAGAAGATGGCCGTCAGGAGGTGTTAGCGGAAGGCACGGTGAGCAATAGGTAAACGCATTGCAGTTAAAAGAGTGAACCTCACCCGCAGGGAGTGATTTGTATGCCGAGATGCTATATCTCTCGCGATGTCAGCCGAGATAACGTAGCCAGGTCCATTGGCGTACGGGGGATACGCCGCTTCAGGCCATTCCTGCAGGCACACGCTTCGAGTGAGCAAACATATGCATGTTAAAATTGCAAACATGTGACGCTTATGCTGACATTAAGGTACCTCGTAGGTGACGGCCCATTTGCCGCTTCTTTGAGGCCTGTGCAAGAGGTTCAGGTTGCCCAGATACAGAGGTAAGGTTCTGTTGTAGGTAGTGATCTGTTGCAATACTATATCCAGCCGCACAAAGGTGTCATCATCACACTTCATGATGTAATCTGCAGTGACATTTTGCCCCTACACATAAACAAATGGCTCTCACCAATCAGCATTTGTCGATGTTGGATGATACATTGGAAATAGACATTTAATGCGAATGTAGCATGACTAACCCCATATTGACATATCGCAACTGTTTTCAGAACCACCAGCTCATACCGGTCGATAAATGGCAGAATGACTATGTCTCCAAAATATTCTGCTTCCTTCTTTAGTGCTGCGTTTATCTCCTTTCTGTGGCTCTACAGAAGGAAACACGTACAAACTCATAACAATACTGTTATTGATTGAACCGTTGGGAAATCATGAGAACTTATCGTACCAGCGCAACAAAGAACCGAGCAACTGCATTCCCCAATTGGATAGCCGGAAACTGCATCCAAGTTTTCCTAATAGCCATGCGCTCAGCGAAATGGTTTGTAGCAGAGAGGATGCCAATGAAAAGATGAATTGGTTCCTCTGGGACAGGGCGAGCCTTCCACCTTTCAGACATTTCCAAGACTTGATGGAGAGAAAAACTAGGATGGGCCTTTGGAAGCGCTGTTGCATATACAGAGTGAACATCTATGCCCCCTGTTATGGCTAAACCTGTTGCATCTTCGAGAGTGAATCCCTGACAAATATTGGCAATAAAAAATAAGTACCCAGTGATTTCTTTGCCAGACCTTCGAAATATCTCTACAATGGAATGTATTCTTTGGCAAGGGAACTAAAATTTACCATCCTATGAGGAAATGAGGCAACATGGCGGCCTCCCACATTAATATCATATCCTTCAACGCCAGCTTGGATAGTGAGAACAAACATCTTCCCCTCTGAAAATGGGAATGGCCATGTCATTTCTGGTTTCTTTGCTCGCCCGATAAATCTGTTGAACCATGAGCTTGTCTTTGTTTCTTTCGACTCAACCATGTCCTGCCGCTCCCATTTCTCACATTTTCTGAATCCATCGACTGCAAAGTTAACAATCTGCAAGAATAAGTACAAAAGGACTAAAGGTGGCAGCCATAAGGTAGCAACAGACACCCCAGCAATGTAAGCAACACATGGCCACTACGCATGGCTAAGAGCATCTCCAAGAGCCTTTCTAAATCCCACTCTCTAAATCATCTTTTGAAGAGTCATTTGCATAAAAATCGCTTTCTATATCTTTTCACTTTCCAACAGTTTTTCTATATCTCGTGCGCACTCTAGAGAACCATTCTCGTCTTCTATTTTTGGCTAGCGAAAAACCCGGAATGAAGAAGGCTATATTTGGATAACCATCTAGAGAAGCTTGTTGGATGGTAGTTTTTCATCAAAATCTCTATTCCTAACATTTAGGAAGGATATAGTCTCTTGAAGATGCTCTAAACTGGTGAAGAATTAACAAGGTCCTGGACAAAATTATTCAAAACATCAACGGATGCGTCATGAGAGCATATTGTTCCATACTGACTAGTGACTACTATGTGTTTCTTACCATTTCCCAAGAACAGGGAGCTTGCATTGTCCAATTAATAAGCATGCCAAGTTTGCTACTTGCATTTTAGTTCAAATTTCGAAACAAACAACTGTTGGGGCGCGCCTCTTACCCAGGTCATCGTCTCTGGAAGGGGTGCCGTCGCAGCGCTGCGCCCTGCCCCACTGCATTCGGAAGCAGGTGTTCATCTCCAGCACGGGGTGGCCGCTCCAGTCGCCGCGCAGCCGCGGGTTGAGGTGGAGTATCCTAGGCGGCTCCTCGCCGTCGGCGGCGCGCAGGCCGCGCAGCTCCAAAGCGAACTGCGCCACCAGCACCGTCCCGTTGCCCGCGCCGCTCCGCTCCAGCGCCTCGACGTACTCGGGCCGCGCCGCGCGCGCCGTCCCCACCACCGTCACCGCGGACCCGGCCGCCAGCCCGCACGGCAGGAACGCCGCGGTCACCCCGGCGCCGAGCGCGAGCGAGCCGGGGCACTTGGCCGCGCCCTCCCCGTCTTCGCGGGAGGCGATGGAGTCGACGTCGCCGGCGAACGCGGAGGCCTCCTCCCACGCGGCGGCCCCGAGCGCCCACGCCTCGGCCGCCACGCGCTCCAGCTCCGTGGAGCTCCCCAGCCGGCCCCACCGCTTCCGCCGCTCCCCGACGGCCTCCTGCCGCCGGAGGATCTCGCCGGTGATGCGGCCGTACCCGGACACGCCCCCGCCGCTCGTACCGCCCCTCGCGCGAGCAGGCGGCTCCTCGACCCGCCGACGCCGCAGCGGATCGCCCGCGCCGGCGGTGGCCAGGCGGCGGCCGACGGCAGCAGGCGCGGGCACCGCGCCGCCGAGGCCACCGAGCTTGACGGACACGAACAGTAGGTAGGCGAACGCCGCCGCGGCGAGGAGCGGCGCACCCAGGCCCCGGCGCGCGCGCAGCCGGCTCACGCCGAGGAATCCCTCGGAGCTGCGCGCGCGCTTCATGGCGGTGGCCGGGCCGGCGCTTGCCGGGTCTGGGGAGTGGTGGGATCCGGAGCGAGACGGGAAGGGAAAGTGATGGGTTGGGTTGGTGGTTTAGCGATAACGATCGCCAGCTAGGGCGTTGTTGCTGACGTGGCGGTTAATTAATTAAAACCGTGTCTCACAGGCGCAGGTGGGTTACCGTTACTCCTCCTTTCAGGTGTACCGTGTACGTTTAGTTGCTTGCAAAAGATTTGGAGTTAGATTAGATGAAGTGTTTACTGTTTACTTGACTTAAATTGGGTTCTACTTTTGCAATGGAGTCTACAGTACTTGCCTAGAGATACTTTTTGTTGTATTCAATACTAAGATAATAATAAGGGATTTGCCAAACTTGACGTGACTAAATTTTAGTTTTCTTTCCGGTGGTTATTGCATATATTTTATATTAAATATGTAGTTTAGTTTTAGTTCGTTGTAATTTCTGTAGACATAATCTTATAAATATGTAGTTTTAGTTCGTTGTATTTTCTGTAGACACAATCTGTAAATTTTTTTGTTCCAAGAATAAAAAAAATCTGTTAGACAAAACCTTAAACCTGACAAAATTTGAAATGTATTGGCACAAACACAATTTGACATTAACAATTTATGATTATTTCTGTAGCCAGACAAGGGCAAAAACAAATCACAAAGTGACAATTTACTTATACTAATTGGTAGTAAAAGAGTATTGTCGGAAATTATCATAAAATTCAGGCACCTGAAATATAGGAGAAGTGTAATCATAATGGTTCTGAAGGGTACATCTCGCGTGTATCACGCATTTTTACTTTATCTTGTGAATTATCACTTTCCTCGTTCTAAATTATAAGATGTTTTGGTATTTTCTAGATTCATGGCTTTTAATATCTAGATATGTATATCTATCTAGATATATAGCAGAACGTTATGAATATAGAAAACTCAAAACATCCTATAATTTTAAACGGAGTGAGTAGTATTTACTACGTCCATTTTAAATAGTCACTAAATATTTAGGACGATACTTTTCAGACGGCTAATTATTACAAATAGCTACTAGCCTATATCTTTTTAACAATGCCTATTTTACTTTAATAGAGATCTAAACACAACATCTCATCTTTTATAGCCTGTTTAGTTCCTAACCGTTGGTAACCACAACAGGTTGTGGCGCCGCCAATGTTTGTAGCATAGAAATCTAGCAAAAGTTATAATTCTAGAAAAGTCAAAACGTCTTATAATTTAGAACGGAATAAATAGTATTTACTGCGCTCATTTAAAATAGCCACAAAATATTTAGGATGATATTATTCGCAGCTAGCCTATATTTATTTAACATGCCTATTTTACATCAACAGAGATCTAAACATAACAATTATCTTTTAGAGCCTGTTTGGTTCCCAGCTGCGGCGCCGCCCAAGTTTGTGGTGGAGAACTTATACCTAAAGTTCAATAGGAAAATGAACTGCGTGGGCCGTGACCGCCGCAGCTGTGTAATAAACCAAACAACACCTTCGATTTCCGTGGCCACCATCATTTGTGACCTGATGTGTTACCTACGCAAGCTATAACGATGATACGCAAGCTAGAACGACAATTCAAGGTTCCCGTCTTGTCTGTCTTGTAATTATTTCTCACATCATTATTATTTTTTTTGTCTCACAGGCCTTGTCTCTTACACTTAGGACATGTTAGCCTCTCCTTTTTTTTCTTTGCCTTCTTTTATTTTTCTTCTCCTCTGTTGTTTTCTTCTCCCATTCATATCACGGCACACTAGCCCAGTCCACGTTGGCTGGCGCCCCCCTCCCCCTGCCGAAGATTGCTCGTCCTGCCCGCGCTAGCGCTGAAGCTCGTCTCGCGTGCGCTCGTGTCCGCCGCCACAGCTTACTCCATTTCCATCGCCAACTAGAGATCTGGCCACGCGCCTCTTCAAAAGCCGCATGACAGCCGCCGATGAGGACGTCGTCGGCTCATATACGACCATTTAACCACTTCTAAACCAGATGGCAATTATTTTATGTGAGGCTTATCATTGATACATCCCATGAATTAGCGCTGCAACATGAAGTTCATGTACAATGATTAGTAAGTGGCGCCGTGCTTCTTGTCTAGTCAAACGGAAGCTTAAATTATGGAGTACGGTGGGCCCCGGACGACCGCTGCCAGAAGATGGACGAGATCGTCGCTGCCGATACGGCGCCATACCAAATAGCAGGCGGCCACGTGGGCCGGCCGTCAGTCAGCACAGGGGCGCGGACCGAGGAGGCAGCGAGGGCCGAGGGGACGACGTGCTAGTATACAGTACGTGTACGGGGGTGCTAGCGAACGTATTAGTAATTTAGTACGTACTGTACCTGGGCCGGCCGGCCCAGCACAACATGAGGCCCTCCCAGTCCAGTCCACTCCACAAGGCAGAAGCGAGAGGCCACGTCCCCCGCCCGCGCTCCTCCCCTGGCCGACCGACACGTCACGGGCGTCTTCCCGTGTCAGGTCCAGTCACAGGCCGGCACGCGTGCGTGCAGACTGCTCAGCCACTGGGTACTGGTCTGCGGAGTAGCACTGGGCAGTACGAGTAGCAACCGCACGGCACGGCGGCCGGCGGCCACGGCCACCGGCTCAGATGGCCAGACGACCCGTCCCGTCGCTCGCGGCCCCCTCCACCGCTTCGCTGCGTGCGCGTCGGACGCTCACGTCCGCGCTGCTGCACGGTGCATGCTCCTGCTGGCGCATGTGCACTAGTATAGTAGTAGTACACCGGCAGGCAGGCGTCAGGTCCCGTCGTGTCGGCACCAGCAGCGCACTGCAGCCCCGTCCCGTCCCGTCGCTACGGCGCAACGCAGGCCGCGCGCCCGCACGGAGCACGGTAACTTCTCTACGGAAGCGGGCGTGCCTCGGGGCTCCGGTCGCTGGCCTCCGCGCGCGGGTAATAAATAAGAGTAAAACCGTGCCCCCCGGGGGCCGGGGTGGTGGTCCTGCGACCGTGCTCCGTCGGGTCTTCGTCTTGCGCGTGGACTCCCTGTCGCAGCACTTGCGGGGTACGGGACCACCAGTCCACAACTTCGGATACATTGTCACGTGGTGTACAAACCTTTTCTTTTCCTAAAAAAGAACACGGCGCGCCACTGCTCGGTTTCGGCTGCGTGGCCGTGGTCCGTGGAGCGTGGCTGGTGCACTGCACTACACTGCACCGTAGGCCCCCAAGGCCGTAACAGGCGGCCCATCCCACGCGACACGCCGGCCCGCTCCCGAGTTGTCACCGGGAGGGCCGAGCTCGCCCGTCCGTCTCGACTCGGACGGCCCGGATCATCCGCACGCCGCGCACGGGTGTGTCCACGGGCTATTGGCTCAACGGACGACGAATCCTCGTACTACTGCCAGTCTGCCACGAGACGGGGAGGGCAAAAAAAAAAAAAAAAATGGCGGTGCTGCCCTTTGCACGGCGCACTCTCTCCTCCTTGTGGCAGATGGATTGTGTTGGCCCGTGCAGCTTTAATCTGAGATAGCGTAAACTAGCGTGCGATTCGAGCAAGTTTCGAAATGGTCCGTGCAGGAATGAATACGCTTTGCCACGTGTGTTATCGAGGAGAAAGTACAAGTTACTCTTGACTAACCTCATCTTACAGCCTGTTCGGGAGGCCGTATCGTATCGTGGATTATTTACTGCTGGCTGGTTTGGTGTGAGAGAAAAACACTGTTCCCGGTTGGAAATTTACGATCGTTTACGAGCAAGCGAACAGGCTGTTAATTTGTTTGGTGAAAAAGCTTAACGCTCAATAATTCCATCTAAAACAACTTTTATATGTTTGACAGTGGCAGAACCACATAATAATAGGGTAAGGCCAGAGCTTGGTTGCGTAGACTATCATGTGTGGAAGCCTCAAGAAACTAGATAGTGTGGACTCTAGGCAAATCGCAAGTCGTCCTCGGATAGGGCTATATAGAGTCAGGGATAAAGATACAATTACATTGATGTAATAGCTATGTAATTTATAGGATATAAATAGCTATGTAATACATGATTGTAAACACAATTACATTGCTTAGCTAGAGGGCCCTAGACACATATTGTATTGTTTAAATTCCGAGAAGCAAGTTGTTGGACGTAGAGTTATTACTCGACCAAAGTTCCTAAAATGGATATCTTCGTGTGCTTTTTATGTTCTTATTGGGTCTAAAAGCTGTTTTTTCCCCTGTTTACAACTTATTTTACACATGGAACCTTGGGCACACAGAGATTGTAAAAATAAACCCTTAGCCCAACGCCAAAGAAAATGGCATTTTAGGTATATCGCATGGTGCCATATCATCTAGAGCCTTTTGCTGCCAGCATGGCGCGGGCTCACGACACCATCTACTTTGGCGCTACTCCCTCCATCCACAAAGAATGCGATTATGGGAACCGTGTCAGTCAAACTAGCTCAGGTTTAGCCAAGTTTACAGTAAATAGTACTAGCATTTATGTCTTCAAATAAATTTATTATGACTTAAGACAATTGGAGGTCTCATAGCAAAAGGATGACGCTATAGGTTGTGGTGTCGTATGGCAACACTATGATGTCAATTTTTTTGGCACCACACACAAAACAACACCATTGTTCACATTCTTCTTGTATATATGTTTGTTGAGAGAATACATGTACACATAGAAACGTGACTAAAATTTGCAACAATGCTAAGAGGAATATGTTTGTTGAGAGGTCCATATATATATATATATATAAAGAACTAAAAAACTAAAAATTATACTCGTCCATGTCTAATCCTCACCAACGTGGATTTGCTATTGAACTATAATATTTGCTAGTAAACGATGCTTATATAACCTACGGTTCAGTGATAGTTATTGCCTAAACTTTTTTTTTGTCATTGCTTGCTTAACACCGTCGAATAATGTCAGTTCGAGTGCTCACACAATAATGGTAGCATCAACAATGCTTAATAACGTCAGTTTTTGAGCGCTCACACATTAATGGTAGCATCAACAATGTTAATATAACATACGGTTTAACAATAACTATCGCCAAAACCTTTTTTGTCGTTGCTTGCTTAACACTGTCGAATAATATCAATTTTCAAGGGTCACACAATAAAGATCAATAATATATCAACTATCGATGTCATGTATTCTATATTTACTAAAAGAATGTCTCAGTAAACTATCAAAAATTAACAAAATTTATATAAAATAATTCTAAATATTTATGATACTAATAAACATTGTTAGATTTTTTTATATAAATATCGATATTGCTTATAGTATTTAAACTAAGTACTCATAAAGTTGTACTCTAAACTCCCTCCGTCCCTAAATAAATCAGTTTTTGTAAATCATCACTTTTATATTTGAATGAATTTATTATATAAACGGATATGAATATATATGATATCAAATAGACACATATTGTATACAATAATACTAATTTGGTTTCATAAATTCGGGTGCTATTTTTTAGAAATGTTATCAAACTTAGAAAGATTTAGCTTAAAATAATTTTAGAAATTAATTTATTCATGGACGAAAAGAGTATTACTTTTGGGACTAAAGCCGTAATACTAAACCATATTTTCATATTTTGGTCGTTTCTTCCTCTTATGAGTGCATTGGTACTCACTTGTTTAAGGCTTGCACCATTATCGTGACGTACAAAAACCACATATAAAACTACGCAAAAGATGATCACGACATGTACGCAAGGCGTATCAAAGCATCCACTTGCAGCACTTTCTCCAAAATAATCCACATGCACCTTGGTTTACTTCTTGGAGGAGCCCGTCAAAACTTCAAAGGCGCTGCTCCCTTCGCTGAAAAGTCATTATTAAGAGTACTGTTCTCTAATTTGTTGTAAGAGAAAAATACTGTTCGTTCGTTGAAAAAGTACAGCTTGGGCCAGAAACCTTCAAAGCACAATACAGATTTTTTTATCCTTTTTTAATCAACAAAGAGGGTATAAAGGGGAAGAAATAAATCTTTTGAGATATTTTTTACTGTCTCCGAGGAGCTCTCTTCGCTATTCTTGGCTTCCCCATAAACCAAAAGAAAAAAAAAGGGAAAGAAAGCAAGGAGCACCGCACCACGCCACTCCACTCCCTCCCCTCCCCTCCCCTCGATCCAGCCATGGCGGCCTAGGCCCCCCTAGGGTTCCCCGTCAGCCCCCACCCAGGCGCCTCCTGCCGCTTCCTCCGCTTCCCACACGGTAGTCGCGCTGCCCGATTCGGCCGCCGGCGTCGAATGGGAGGCCACCTGGTGCTCGGAGCCGGGCGTGACCGCGCGCTGCCGACGCGGCCCGAGGTTCCCTGAGCTCGGCGGCGGGTTCCCGTGCTTGCGCCGAGGGGGACTCTCGGCGGCGCCGCCAGCGCTGCCTGAGGCGGGGGGTTTAGGACGCGTGAGCGCGCCGCGCGTGCAATGGGGGATTTGAGGCGGTTCTGGTGAGTCGCCGCGGCGGGTCTTGGTTCTGCGAGCGCCTGGCCTGTGTTCGTGAAGGTGGTGGGGTTTTCTAGCTGCTCCTTGATCTGATGAGCTCAGCTCCGGCGTCCCGCCTCGGTTTCTCCGCGCGTTTGCTCCGTCGGTTGCCCAAAACCCAGCTTCTTGGATCAGGCCGTGCTCATTTCGGCGCTTTTCTTCGGTTCTTTGGGGAAAGGTTGGAGCTTTGAGGTGTTGCCTGGCGAGGGTGCGCAGCTGAGGATTCCGGGCGATGAGGTGGGCGATGGCCCGCGTTTGCCGCGATAGTCCGGGGTTCGGGTAGCCGGTTCTTCAAGCGGATTTGGCTGCTGCTGCGTGGGAAGGGGGAGGCGGCTGCAGCAGCAGCAGCAGAGGAAAGGTTGCTCTGGAGCGGTAGGGAAGCAGGTTGGCATTGCTGCTGGGAGCATGGTGAGGTGCTAAGGAGGAGCAGCTCCCGCAGTCGGTCATTCTCGCCGGCCGCAACCTTGGTGTTCTTGTCCAAGGTCGTACTGGTGGTGGGAGATGAACCTCTCCCCGCCCAAGATGTCGGAGCCATCGCCTGAAAGTGACGGTATATCTCATATCACAATTTCGTCATCGATTCATTTCAGAACTTCTCAATTTGTGTTGCTCTCTGCATGGTTTAGTGGATTATGCAATGCTGTCATTGTGCATTGATGTTTCCAAACAAATTAGCAAAACTGGCTTGCTCTTGTATATGCATGATTACATTCATTCATATTCTTCACTGATTTGCACAAAAGAAAAGGTTCATGCATTGCTCGGCTTCACTCATGGTTCACATGTTGTAGTATTATTGATATTCACTGAACCTCCTCTTGTCTGTAGCCAAGTACGAATAGTAGCTTCACATGAACTCTGCTTTCTGGTGGCTTCCTGTTCCACTCATGTGTGTTTGGCATTTTGCAGGGGAACAAAGGTGTCTGAACTCAGAGCTATGGCATGCATGCGCAGGGCCCCTTGTGTCCCTGCCTGTGGTTGGGAGCCGGGTCGTCTACTTTCCTCAGGGCCATAGTGAGCAGGTCGGTCACTCAGCAGTATCTTTGAATAAACTAGATATGGCCGAGTTTGTTGACTAAGACTATCAGGTCTGCAAATGAGGAATAAAAAGAATCACTTGAGCTGCTACCTTTCTGATTCGTTTGATTGTATATATCAAATGGATCGACTAAACATAACACTTCTGAAGATTCAACTGAAAAATTACTTTGCCTAACTATATACATAAAGATATTTTGTATTCAAATAATCAAATTTGTTCAAAGATTGTTATCACTTGAAGTCACTTTTTGAGTCAGTATAGCTTTGTACAGTATTATGAAATCATTTGTAGAGAATCACTTGCTCTCGTGCCTTAGTGCTCAATACTTAAGAGGTTCTTTTGTTTTATTTTCATGCAGGTTGCTGCATCAACTAATAAAGAAGTTGATGCTCAGATCCCAAACTACCCAAATCTACCTCCACAGTTAATCTGCCAGCTTCATAATGTCACAATGCATGTGAGTTCGAGCTTAGTGGACCATCATCTAGTCTTTTAAGAAGCATTATGAAATTATTTCTTTGTTAACACAGGCTGATGCGGAGACGGAAGAGGTTTATGCCCAGATGACACTGCAACCATTGAGCCCGGTATTTTATCAATCACCACTTAGCTCTTTGCTTGTAACCTGGATTCTCATGAAAGGTTCTTTCAAATGGTATTACGATGCCTGTACATTCAACAAGTGATTCCATGTACAGGAAGAACAAAAGGAACCTTTTCTTTCAATCGAATTGGGTGCTGGTAGCAAGCAGCCAACTAATTACTTCTGCAAGACGTTGACTGCAAGTGATACGAGTACCCATGGTGGATTCTCAGTTCCGCGCCGAGCAGCTGAGAAAGTCTTCCCCCCATTGGTTTGTTTTTTTAAGATTTCAAGTGAAAATTTAGTTTCTTTAAGTTTGATAGATTTATAAGAAATGGTTATGTGTTCTTTCCTTGAAAAAAACTAATGCATTCAATTATCTGCAGGATTTTTCACAACAGCCTCCAGTGCAAGAGCTGGTTGCAAGAGATCTGCATGATAATGAATGGAAATTTCGCCACATTTTTCGTGGTATGTACTTAAATTATGGTAGCAAATGGAGAAATGATGCTGTTTGATTATTGAACAAGTGGAATGGAACTTTAGCTATCAATAAGGAAGGACGAAAAAATGTTAATTGTGCATGAGCGGCTTTCACTACCTACATATATCAACTGTCTGTTTCTTTCTGCCTGAATACTTTACTGTGATTTTGCTTAGGTAGTTAAGTTAGTCTGGAAAATGCTGTATTGATAATATTTCTTTACCTCTGGATGTCTAGTGAAGTTATTGATACATCAAATTATATTCTGGGATGTCTTGGTTGTTCTTTTTGTATCTTAATGTGATGCTTTGGCCCTTGCATGTATTGTGCAGGTCAGCCAAAAAGGCATCTACTGACGACTGGTTGGAGTGTTTTTGTAAGCGCAAAAAGACTAGTAGCAGGGGATTCTATCATATTTATCTGGTATTTTCTGCTTTTAATTTTAAACTGAACTTTATTCTAGTTTTGTTAAAGCTTCTGAGGTTGCTGACACGTCAAGTCCTTTTTGTTTTTCTTTTCACCAGGAATGATAATAACCAACTTCTCTTGGGAATTCGTCGTGCAAATCGTCCACAGACTGTAATGCCCTCTTCTGTGCTATCAAGCGATAGCATGCACATTGGTCTTCTTGCTGCAGCAGCTCATGCTGCAGCCACAAACAGTCGTTTCACTATTTTCTACAACCCCCGGTATGTATACTATGATTATACTATATTATACTTACCTTGTTTCTGCACTTAAGTAACATGGTCATCCTTTGTCAGGGCTAGCCCTTCTGAGTTTGTCATTCCACTGGCTAAGTATGTGAAAGCTGTTTACCACACGCGTGTGTCTGTTGGAATGCGGTTTCGGATGCTTTTTGAGACAGAGGAATCAAGTGTCAGACGGTGAGTTGAAACTTGTAAAGTGTACACAGCATGAAAACTATGTGCATCTTACGGTTGTCTCTTCTTTCAGTTATATGGGTACAATAACAGGCATAAGCAATCTGGACTCAGAGCGTTGGCCAAACTCACACTGGCGTTCTGTGAAGGTGAATCCTTTAAAACTGTTATATGGTTACAATTTACAAAACAATTGTCGATATCTTGTTTGGTTAAATTTTAATTATTCAATTTTCAAAGCCATCTGTTGTTGCATGCTCTATGTACCCTTTGTGAGAACATTTTTGCGTCGTAATGATGGTTTCTTTCCCTTTGGGTTATTGATACTTAGGTTGGTTGGGATGAGTCTACAGCTGGTTATAAACAGCCAAGAGTTTCACTCTGGGAGATTGAGCCACTGACTACCTTTCCGATGTACCCAACTGCCTTTCCATTAAGGCTAAAGCGTCCGTGGGCTTCAGGACTACCTATGTTCAATGGTAGGCTAACTATTGACCAGAACACCCAGTATTCATGGTAACGGTTCATTTCAGTTTATACTCAAACCAATTTCTCTTTGTATATGCAGGTGGGAGGAGCGATGAGTTCGCTCGTTATTCTTCTCTCATGTGGCTTCGAGATGGAAACAGAGGGGCTCAGTCATTGAACTTCCAGGGATTTGGAGCATCACCATGGCTTCAGCCAAGAATAGATTATCCATTGTTGGGTCTGAAGCCAGATACTTACCAGCAGATGGCTGCTGCCGCACTGGAAGAAATTAGAGCTGGCGATCATTTGAAGCAGACATCTCTCCTGCCAGTCCAACAAACTCAAAATTTGAATGGCGGATTAGATCCTTTGTATGGAAATCCTGTTCTACAGCAGATGCAGTTCCAATCTCAGCAGTCACCCCTGCAAGCTGTGCAGCAAGGTTATGGTCAGAATGCAAGCGACTCTGGGTTCCTTCAAAATCAGCTGCAGCTGCAAAAGCAGCAGGAGCCACCACCACCGCCGCAGCAGCAGCAGCAGCAGACACAAGTTCTGCAGCAACAATCGCATCAGGAAATGCAACAGCACCTCTCAGCTAGTTGTCATGATATTGCTAATGTAGCTTCTGGTGTGTCCGAGTCTGGATCTGCTTGTCAATCACAATCTTCTTTGCTTTCTGGGTCATCGTTCTACCAACAGAACATCTTTGATGGAAACAATGGTCCAGATCTGCATCTGCACAACAGTTTCCACAACTTTTCAAGCCAAGAATCCTCCAACCTTCTTAATCTCCCAAGAAATGGCCAATTAATGGCATCAGAGGGATGGCCTTCAAAGAGGTTGGCTGTGGAATCTCTTGCTAGTCATGAGCTCCAACCTGTACAGCACAAGCTTGAGAAAGCGAATCACCAGAGTAATGTATCTCACGTTTCTGGCACCTTGCCGCCACTGTCAGCAAGAGACGGTTCTAGTGCCCAGGCTTGTGGTACAAATGTTCAGAGTCACCTGCTTTCATCATCATTTGCAATCCATGATGGCTTGTCAACCGTCAGGAGTGGTGGTGTTGGCAGTGGAACTGATGCGACAACCATAGCTTCGTTGAGATATGGGGATATGAATTTGCTACCTGAAAACTCCATAGCAACTTCCAGTTGTTTGGGTGAATCAGGAACCTTCAATTCTCTTGACGATGTTTGTGGTGTAAACCCATCACAAGGTGGAACCTTCGTGAAGGTATGTGTTCCTACTTATGCTGTATATTCCTTTAAATTCATCAAAGGGCATGGAAGTTGCCAAGTTGGTAACTGCAAGAGCACTTCATTTTGTGGAGGTAAAAAGGTCCATTTTGTTGAGTTGTTGTTGGGTTGGTGGTTCACAGAGCAATCAATTAAATCTTCAACTTCTTTATTTGTCGAGCGATCTTCAAGTTCTTCAAGTTGGTAACTGCATCACATCCTTTTGACGCCTTCTGTTCCCTTTTTGTTCCACCACTAGGTTTACAAATCAGGGTCCCTCGGGAGATCGCTCGATATCACCAGATTCAGCAGCTACTACGAGTTACGTAGCGAGCTCGAGCGGTTATTTGGTCTTGAAGGCCAATTGGAGGACCCTGTAAGATCAGGCTGGCAGCTTGTATTCGTCGACCGGGAAAATGATATTCTTCTCGTCGGCGACGACCCGTGGCAGTATATGCATGCAGAACTTCCTTTTGCGTATACAAATTTATTTGGTCTGAACTTTCATTCAGCGTGATCATCGTTGGACCCCATGTTTTTCCAGGGAGTTTGTGAATAGCGTATGGTGCATAAAGATCCTCTCGCCACAAGATGTGCAGCAGATGGTCCGCGGCGGAGGCGACCTGTCTACACCTGGAGCGAGGATGCTGCAGAGCAGTGTCTGCGATGACTATTCTGGAAGCCACGACATGCAGAACCTCACCGGCAGCATTGCACCTGTGGTGCCTCTGGACTACTGAGACTTGAGATGAAGACTGGAATCTGAACCAAAACCAGCAATTCAGCACCGCAGGATTGCCATCCACGAGTCATTTCGGTTCCTATGATCTTCTCTCAAGTCCTGTTGGTCAGAAATAACCTAGTCGTTAATATAGCTAGATGATCCATTGTATCACTATGGTAATGGACATGTTGTACGATAGCTACTGTAGCTATAGCCTAAGCTCTAAATGGCAGGCAAGAATTGCTCTATCAAAGTATGAATGCAGGCACTCACTGTAGAGGTGACCTAGCCCTGTAGTTCTCTCTATTATCATCTCATATCTAAAACTGATGGTTCCATGTGGCGCCTAAACTATTGAAACCTATCAGGCTATCACTGTCACCTGTCAATTTTTTTCCTCCTCAATTTGCGGTTGTTTGATTTGCTGCATGGCATACAAGTCAAAAAAGTTTGTCCTGTTTGTAATTCACTAGTCTGTATCCTGTAGGCTTTGACCTGTTAATCCGCCGAGTTTCATGTCTACCAAACCATGATTTCCATGGAATCAGGGTATAGCATAGAGGAGGGACCCTTTTTAGGGGTTCCTAAGCTCCCTCTTAGCCCCATGTGCCATTAAGAATGCTGGAGTCGTCTTAACACTAGAAGGGTCAATCTCTGAAATTTCTAGTAATCAGAGTAATTTATTAGATGGTTTTACTATGGCTTGGATTAAAAAAAAATAGTAACATGTGTTTGTAAAATAGTGAGATTGCTTGCCATAACTCAGTTTGAGTTCAGAACTGACAGTGGCTTCTCCTGGTTCTAGAAATGTACAACAGTTAAAAACAGAACTTTACACATCTGCAGCATTTGGCTACAGCCCAGATTGCTTGCCATTGACAGTGGCTTCTCCTGGTTCTAGAAATGTACACCAGAACTTCTTTTACACATCCGCAGCACTTGGGTACAGCCCAGATTTGTCGATGAGAACATTCCCTGTCAATCCAAGACCAGGTGACAATCTAGTTCGCAGATTGTACAAACAGGGCAAGCAACATCCGAAGCAACAAGCATCACATTTCTGAGCCTGTTTAGTTGTACTTTATTTTGCAAAAATTTTCAAGATTCCCCGTCACATCGAATCTTTGCACGCATGCATTAAGCATTAAATATAAATAAAAAATAAAACTAATTACACAGTTTAGACTAAATCCACGAGACGAATCTTTTAAACCTAATTAGACTATGATTGAACACTAATTGTCAAATAACAACGAAAATGCTACGGTACTATTTCGTCAAAAATTTTGCCAACTAAACACTACCTTACAACAGCGGCCTGACGTGAATGCGCTCACGCTGCAGTCAGTCAAACAGCAGCTACGCTGCAGCTGAACTCTGGAGCTGATCGCAGGAACCAGGTGCAGCCTGCAGCACCGGGACGGCACTAGATTTCAGGTTGTGTTTAATTCGCGGAATGAAAATTCTCGAGGTCACATCAGATGTTTCGGGGATGTTGGTAGGGGTTTTCGGATACTAATAAAAAAAACTAATTACATTGCTCGTCTGGAAACTGCGAGACGAATTTATTAAGCCTAATTAATCCATCATTATTTCATGTCAGTTACTGTAACACTTATGGGTAATCATAGACTAATTAGTCTTAAAACATCCATCTCGCGATTTCCAACCAAACTGTACAGTTAGTTTTTTTCGTCTATATTTAATACTCCATGCATGTGCCGTAAGATTCGATGTGATAATTTAGGGTGAAAATTTTTGGGAACTAAACCAGGCCTCAGTCAAAGCATGCAAGGAAGCAGGGAGATAGCCGGTCTAAGCCACAAGATTTCAGCTAGGAAGCATTGCCAGTTGATTTTGCAAATTGTTTGTTTAGATATATGATTCGGCATTTTCTACCATCAATGGGCCCTGGAATCACTAATATTTACATAGGCAAGCAGTGGAGTATGGAGCCTGCTCCAACAGACAACCGGCTGTCCTGATCCTTGGCAACACTTATTCCATTTAGTTTCTGAACATGTAGGGAGGTTAAAAGAGTAGATTATCTGAACATCAGCTGGCTGCAGGACAAACTAGGCAACCAGCTCAGGGTTACACAAAGGCAGACGGCATCCAAACCACAGCGACGAGCAGCTCGCAATTCCCAGGTACTGGGATAAACATGAACCAGGGATGAATTTTCATGTACATACAAATTAAGCCCATGCCATCATGATATACTGCCATCAGCTACGGAATTGGAACAGAGAATCAGAGATGATGTCAGTTCTTGTTCCAGAGCATGGTAGCTACACTACAGGAACCAGGCGCAGCAGCGCCGGAGCCGGCACGGCTCACGGCCGGTCTTGCGGATGCGCTCCACCTGCCGCGCCAGCCGGGACGCCTGCCGGCTCCGGCGCGCCTCCACCCTCGCCTGCTTCCCCTCCACCTTGTGGCTCAGGGCCGACAGCCGCCTGGCCAGGTCCTGCTTCGCCCGGGCTTTCATCTGCTCTGCGTGTGCCTGAACAATTCAGTCCAATATACTCATCAGTGAGAATCGCTGAATACTCCATCCAAGAATTCAAACCAATGCAGTTAACTAACAGAGAATGTTCAAAGATTGATTGATAGAAGGAAACTCGAAAAAAGTTCAGAATTTGAATGAATGAATGAATGGAACTGACCTCAGCCTGCCTCAGCTTGGCTTCGAATTTGGATTTCTGCAAGCTTTCCCACTCCTGTATCTTCACCTCCTTCCTTTGGTATCTGCGGGCATCAATGCATCATGGACATGACAAGGAATTAGAAGTCACTCAATTAGTGTATGATCAGAAAAATTCCTGGAGATTTCTTTACCAAGTTAGCATCAGCAACAGAGATTTAAATTGTTTTCAATGATTTTTTTTTTGTCTTTTGCTCACCGTGACGCGAGTTTACACTTGTTGGACTCTTCCCACGCGGTAGCGCGAGCTTCGTACGCCTTCCTCTTGATCTCCTCGTCGATGGCTGCGGCGCCCTTCTCCGGCGACGCCGCGGCGAGGATGCTCTCCTCCTTGCTGGCCCACGACGCTATGTTCATCTTGCCGAGCTGCAGGCCGAGCGCGGCGATCTCGCGCCGCGTCCTGAGTCGGAGCTCCCGCTCCGACGCGGAGGAGGCGGACGAGGAGGCCGCCGCGCTGCCGCCCCTCGGGCTGGACGGCACCGAGCAGAGCGGGCTGAGCGACGGCGTGGCGGCGCCGGCGGGGGTGCCGCTGCGCGACTGCTCCTGGCTCGCGATAGGCGTCATCTCCGTCCCGACGTCCCGCATCGACACCGACACGGACACCGACGGCGCGAAGCGGAGCTTCTTGTGCGGCGGCTTGCTCGCCGGCCCGCTCACCGACGACGGCGGCGACGAGGACTTGGACGACAGCTCGGTCAGCACGCTCGCGCCGGCGCCGCTGGACCTGGACGCCATCGCAGACTCTGGCGCGACGCGGCCGCCGGGGCAGTGCGGCGTGGCGGCGGCGGCGGGCTTCTTGGAGAAGATGGGGTTGGAGTGCACGACGTGGCGCCCCGCGATCCACTTCTCCGCGTCGTTCCACTTGGACGGCACCTGCTGCCGGAAGAACAGCGCGGACACCGCCACCGTCGTAGCCGGCACGGCCGCCCCCTCCTTGCAGAACTCGAAGTTGCCGCCGGCGCCGTTCTCGATGCCGCTGTCGCTGCCACTCCCACCGTAGCTGCGGCTGCGCGCCGCCCTGCCGTGGCTGGCGTCGGAGCGCGACCGGGAAGAGTCGGACCGGTGGTCCTTGGGGTACTCTGCAGGGCGCAGGCGATCGAATCGCTCACTTCACTCATCGAGCAACGTGGCTGCTTGCGAAAGACGGAATCTTTACGCGTGGCGTGAGAGTGTCAGAGGGAGCAACGCACCTTCGTCGAGCTCTTGCGGCAGGAGGCTGTTGTTGGGGTGGTCATCGTCGTCGTCGTCGAGCCTCGACGGCGGCGACGCCCGCGGCGACTTGCGAGTAGACTCGTCCTTGTTGCCGCCGTGGGAGCCGAGCAGCTTCATCCTGAGCTTGGTTGGAGAGATGACCCCCATCTGCATCCAAAATCCATCCATCACACAAGAACAAGGATTTTAACATCCATCGGAGTATACTAGTAAAAATCTCAGCACCACTCCAGCATTAGCAGATTTCTAAAGCGGTCAAAGACGCAGTTACCGAGGCCTTGGAGGCAATTGATGTGTGTGTGTGTGTTTGTGTGTGACAGTTTGAGAGAGAGGGGAATCAAGGAACGAAAGCTGTAAAATGTAGTGGTAGCAGTACTTTTAATGTCACTGTAATGGCTGCTGCAGATAACACATACTGTATGGGTCAAATATCTGCTCCAATGTCTTGTTTGGTTGGCTGATAACACATATGTGAAAGTACTGCTGGTTAATTGACTGTGAGAGAAAAATATCGTTAGTTGGTTGAAAAAGTACGGCCCAACCTCAGCAAAAATGACGAAGAACTGAAGAAGAGGGAGAGAGCATGGCATCAGGCCATCAGCAAAGCCTCAGCGAAGGCAGGGAAGGAGACGAAGAACTGACGCAAGAACCGAAGATACATGGACAAGTTGCAACAAACGTGCTACTGCTACTCCATTTGCATCAGTCGCATTGCTACTCCACTCAACAACAATTAGGAAGCGAAGCGATTCAGAGCATTGGAAAGCAATGGCCGTTACCTGAACTTTGTGTATCCTCTCGTACCCCATGGCCACTAAACCTCTTTTGTGCTCTCTCTCTCTCTCTCTCTCTCTCTAATCTCAGTAGTATGTGTGTGTGTGCTGCATAGCACAAGAAGAGAGGACGGAGGTTCGTTCGTCCGCGCCCAAATGTGGCGACCGCGCGCAGGAGGGAGGGGAGTTTAGTTTCATATTTAGAGGAGGAAGGGAGGGGGCAACTAGCGAGGGAGGCGCGTGCGGGATCCAGTGCGGACCACCAGTCACCACGGTGCGGGTGCCCTCTTTCTCGGCAGCTCGGACCGCGGTGGCCGCGCCCGGCGGGAGGGACCGAGGGAGCACCACTGCACAACCTCTCGCCTTCCTGTCCGCTTCACCTTTCGTTTCCATGTGGATTTTCTTCTTCTCGACATAAGGTTTCCATGGATAATACCAACTTACTAGGGTTTTTATTTACTCGACCAAACCAAAGCTGCAACAAATTTGGGTCGAAATCGAAATCGCCCAGGCTGAAGGGCTAGTGCCGTAATGCGTTCAGATTTCGCGAGAGAATACATAAATCCATTTATTTGTGCTGTGTGTTCTTCTCGCCCCTTATCGCAAGGATTAGGGTCCAAAATCCAAATGGCCGCCAAATCGCAATGCATCGTCGTCCCCGAGGAGTGCAGGAGGACTGGTGGTGAGCTATTCTGCGCTTCTTGACGGCCTGCCTGCAGCCTGCCACCGCGCTCCATCCTCGGATTTCAAGGACCGCCACCGCTCGTCCACTGGCACCCGCAAGCTCCAGAGTTGAGAGCACAGTGTCCAATCGCCCCGCCCGCCGTATCCATCCTACAGTACACAGTATGCCACTCCCATCGCCGGATCAGATGGAAGGATGATGTTACGTGCGGTCAAGCCCCTGCCCGCCTGCCTGCTGTACGCCACAGAAGTGCAGTGCACACACTTTTTTTTACTGCTCCAAGCCTGTTCGCTTACTCGTAAACGATCATAAATTTCTAACCAGGAACCGTATTTTTTTCTCACACCAAATCAGCCAACAATAAATAATCCACGATACGATACGGCCTCCCGAACAGGCTGGAGTCAGCTGCTGAGGCGGTGTTTAGTCGGTGAGTGAAAATGTTTGGGTGTTGCATAGGAGGTGTTGGAAAGATATTAGGAGGGGTTTTTGATACTAATAAAAAAATAAATTACAGAACTCATCAGAAAACCGCGAGATAAATCTAATGATAATAATTAATGGCCATTAGCACATGTGGGTTACTATAGCACTTAAGGCTTTTCATGGACCAATTAGGCTTAAAAGATTCATCTCGCGATTTCCAATCAAACTGTGCAATTAGTTTTTTTTCTACATTTAATGCTTCATACATGTGCCGCAAGATTCGATGTGATGTTTTGGTTTGAAATTTTTTGAAAACTAAACAGTGCCTGAGAATCGCCGTGGATTCCGATCGACATGTACAGGTCTCTTTGGGTCTCTCACTATTTCTGGAGAGGGTAAAAACACACTGTCCCAAGAAAGCCTCTCAAATGATTTTCAATTTTTCTAACTCTCAACATGTTACGGTATAAACATCTTCGCCTTGGGCACTAAGTGGTTCTTCAAAATCATTTTTAAAGCATTTTGCACTTGTTTTCTCACTGCAATCACGAGGTCCAATGCATATGCAAAGTTAGTTTAAACCTAGTGGCACTAGATAACCGTCTTTGCTTTAGAGTCCATCTTAATAGTACCAATATCTATATTAAACCCGACCATACGTTCTATTGCATATCGGTCGACAAAATGATAACCCCTAACGTACACATTTGCCTTTGCCTTTGGGCTTGTTTTTATTTTCTTCTTCTTCTTCTTCTTCTTCAAGTTTGAGCCTTGGCTTGATATCGATCACCACCATATCCTAGCATTGATCATCACACCATGTGGACCCTAGCTCAACCACAACTAATTGAAAGTATTAGTCCACTAGTTGTCACTCATTTACCAAAACCAAACATAGGGCTTTCAAGTAGTGTGGCTCGTCAGTCATCGTCACCCTGATGGTCTGAGGTCCGCCACCCTCCCCCCCATCGGAGGTCCGCCTCCTGCTCGAAGCTCCATCGCCACCCCCTACTTGTAGTTCTGCCAGCGCCCCCTCATTGAAGTTCCGCCGACACGGCCCTGCTCGGAGCTCGGCCGCCAGCCCCTCTGTCCGGAGATCCGCTTTCACCCCCTTCTCAATGAACCACCAGCTAGACCTATTCAGTGATTTTCTAACCTCCTCGTCAAGCTCCTTCCTGACACCCGCCCCAATTAGATCAGCTCCCAACCGACACCAGCCGACACTGCCTTAGGCCGACGACGAGGAGGCCCCAACGAACGAGCTCATGGGCTCACGGCCCCTCCCCGTTGTGGATTGCTAACAGCATGAGGAAGAAGATAACATGCGCAGAAAAAAAGGATGAATATGTATTGGGAGATTCACATGTGAGGGCATAGATGACATGTGAGGCCGCTGACAACAGTGTCTATCGGTTTCACAGTTTTTTCAACTAAATGACTTTCATCTTTTTCATAGCCCTTAGCTTATGGCAGATTTTTTTTTTTACGTACAACAGCTTTTCCACAACCCATGACTCAACCAAACAAGCCGTTCCTCCGTTCATAAAAGGATACAATTCTTACTTTTTGAGGAGTCAAACAACTAGAAGTTTAATCAAAGTAATATAAAAATAATAACATCTATAATATAAAATAATTAAGTACCATTAAATTAATTATAAAATATATTTTTATAGTAAACCTAGTTGAATAAATAAATGTTAGTATTATTAACTTATAAACTTAATCAAAGTTAAGTTAATTTGACTTGCAGAAATCCTGTAATTGTATCTTTTGGGACGGAGGGAGAATATTAGTCATATTATCCACGCAAAACCTTTGACCTTTTGAGTTTGACAGAGGTAGCAGGCGGGACTGCCAAATCCGTCCCAAATCGCACGAACAAACAACGCTTGAATTTTCTAAACATTTTTTCAAACTTAAACTTCCCTCCGCCGCATCCTTTCCTATGACCCTATCCATCCATGGCGCTGGCACCGGACCCCAAGCACGGTCGCTCGCACGCCCAATAAAAGGCCACGAGGAAAGGGAAGGGAGAGAAGGCTCCAAAGCCCAGAACCCAACGACGCCCTTGCTTTAGCTTCTTGCCCTGTTAAAAACTCACCCTGCTCCTGTATAGAGGACACAACGCAACCTCACGCTTTTCTTCGCCTAGGGTTTGCCAAAGTTTTTATATTTTCTAGCAGAGCCAGCATCATCAGTCCACAAAACCCATTTCTGTCCCTACCGCTACACATTTTTTTTTCTAGCTCTCTCTCTCTCTCTCTACAGTCTACACACACAATGACACCAACATCACCTCTTGTCTTCATGCTTCTAGTTAACTCAGCATTGCAATTGTGTAAGCATGTGTGCGTGTGTGTTTTAGGTTTTGGAGCTACTAGGCCACACTGTTCAATGCTCGATGTCGTCACACTCTCATGCAAAATGTTGATGTGATCTGTTAATAAGCATGCTGTGATTCCCTCTTGGGGATGCTGATTTGCCAAGGGAATTCCACTTTTGTCGTCGTTGTCTCCTGGGTGCTAGCTAGCTAATTGTTGGCGCCAACTTCACATTTCAAATGACAGATAGGGTGTCACTGCCCACTAGAGTGTGATAGTGTTTCTTCTCCTATGTACAATCATCTACTCCTAGTGTGCCACTACCAGCAGCAGCAGCAGTAATCGTCTACTACATGTCCTAGATCTTAGACTATCTCCAATAGCCCATACCTAAAACAGCGACCCATTATAGGATTTGGGTTCTGCACAACAAATAGGTCACCGACCCAAAACCTTCCTTCTCCAACAACGAAGGCAAAGGATGTGGCAGAACTGTCCGAAATAGCACGTTCCGGAGGCGTTCGTCTTCCACCAGACACTAAACACCCCGAAAGCTGGCTACATCGAACGGTTCCGTCGAGCACACCCCAAGGGAAAACTCGAACAATCCACGTTTTTTCACCCAGGATCCAATAATGAGAACGAGTTTACAATACTTAGTCCATTTCATACAACAAGAGTTCTCGAAAATACATTATTATAATACCAGGTTCAAAGTGCGGAATTTAAACAGCGGAATTGAAATAAACATCTAACGATAAAATACAAGGATTCGTCTATGCCCACCAGAAGAATCCTCCACACAACAGCCATTCCTCAAGCTGCACCTGCAACAGGGGTAAATAAATCCCGAGTACACAATGTACTCGCAAGACTTACTCGACTAGTGAGAATAATTTCCCGACTTCAAAGAATATGATAAGCTTTATGGTTTGCTGGGTTTCCTTTTTGCATAAAGCATTACTAATAGTGAATCCTTATGTATGTTTCTTATTAGCAGTCATGATTAGTTCATTATCTAACCATTCTATGTAAGCACCTGTTCTACTTTCAAGCAAGAGTTGAGTAATCAGATCCATTTTATCATCTTTCATCTTTCAGTTCTTACTACGGTGCTAGATTGTAGACAAGTCGTACCGTATTACACGGCGATTCATGAACCAATGTATCCTAGCTAGGTACCCTGAAATACACGCCCCGCTTGTACCCCAGGCACAAGCAAGACCAACCCACCACTCTCCTATCAAGGGTTCTAGGTCCCCGTCCAAACTTGGACTCCAAGCCCCCACTCCTGAGTCCTGGACTCAGTGTGGTGCTTAGATCTCCACCATCCCCGCCTCCAATCAGTCAGTCCGAAAAGAGCCAGAATCCACGATAAGAGAGCAATGAGCCTTCCCAGTTCCATAAGCAAGTATGTGCTCAGGATAATAAGTCTGTGACCTGACTAGAATCCAATGCAACGGCCGGTCCTTAACCGACATGGACAGGGAAAATAGTGTAATCAAGCTATGTCCCGTTGACCGCGAGACACAACATATTACACCCACCAATACCGGTACCATATCCTTGTCCAGTCTCTATTTCTTTTTCACCATTTTATC